AGGGGCACAGGCAGCTTTCCATGCTGCCGGCAGGCTGCAGGGGGAGCACAGGCTCCCTGACCCAGCTGCTCTGTCAGCTCAGCACAGCCCCAGCCCCATCTCCTCCTCCCAGGGACAGCCTCGCACATCACACCTGCAAACAGCCCCTCAGCCTGCAGAAAAGCACATTCCATTGGCTTTTAACCACCAGGCTGCAGGATCAGATGGGCAGGCACTGGGACTGTACAAAGCCAGGCTGAGGATCTGGCCCAGCACCATCTCTGCATCCCAGCTGTGCTCCAGACACAATAAATTCCTCCTTTTTTCCAAACTAGTTGTTAGATTAATTATTTACTATAAGTAACTCCCCATACAAAGCCTTTCTAGTGTGGAATAACACTCTTCATTGCTGTTTGCATCTCTGAATCAGCTTTGCAGTACTGCTAAAAAACAGAAGGAGCTTATTTTTCCAGAGAGAGTAAAGGCAGCAAAATCTTATTCTCCCCAACTGAGGGGAAAAAAAGAAAAATTATTTTTAGATTAGCACTGTTTTCCATTTCTCCTCAAATTCACAATAAAGTTTTATTTTTCCCAATTCCAGTGGCAGTGCTGTACTCTTAGAAAACACAGCTGTTGGCTTGGTATTTGCTTGTATGCAGTTATTGCATTGCTTCCTATATTTTCACATGGATTTTTTAAATACAGAAGCAACATAGGAAATTAGATCTAAAATGCATCAACCATGACCCTTTTTTTTTTTCTGTTGTATTATATGCTTTAACCAATAAATTGTCTCCATGTCTCAAATGGACAGGATATTATGTAACACAAAACAGCATAGAAGCCAAAATGCAGGATGAAAAGTTAATTTTGTGTCCATAATTAAGAAAAGAAATCAGAATCTCACTTTCATAAAGTGTTTATGGTACACACAAAAAAAGTAAAATCTTTTAATTCTTGTCTGCTCTGGGTTGAACTTTCCATGACTTTCTGTGTTTCAGTTCCATAAGAAATTAGACAGTCCAACAGAAATTACTACAATATGGGTCAGTAAAAGAAGATTAAAATCCTTGCAAAACTAAGTTAAAAGTGTCAAAACTGGCTGATTTGAAGAATCACAGTGTAAGTTTCCTTAACCAACATTTCAATGAAACCAATGTTTTAACAGATCAGTAATACTGAAATTTCTTAAGACAGCAACAGGCATTTCAATGGAATGCTGAAAGAATTTAATATACTCCCCTCACATTCCTTACAACATGATGGACAAAAAGGATTCAAAGTGTAAAATAATTCCATTTGAATTGCAAGTAAAAGAACATTTCTGGTAACATGGCAGAAGTTGGATGTGCTTTATTCAACAGAAATGTGTTGTACAGACAGAGAATAATACAAACTGCCCACAGTTAAAAATGAAAAAAAAGAAGCTTACTTATTTTCTTGGCTCAATTATAAGTATTTTTAAGGTATTTTGCTATCTTAGAATCTGCTATAGGGGAGTAAGCAGCCAGTAATTTGGCCACCTTGGACATGAACACAGATTCATCTTAAAATTTTATTCTTTTCCTTCATTGACACAGCAGATTAAAGCTCAGCTTAGAGGCTTTGGGTCCAAAGTTTCTGTAACACCAGTGCAGCTGCAGCTCCCTCCATGCTAGTGGTTAAATTTGGGTTAATACAGTTCTATCCACAGACAATCACACGTGCAGATGATGAGAAAGAGCAATCTTGCCCCAGACCAAGGCTGCCCTAAAGAATACAAGTTACCAGTCCAGAGCAGTTTATCCAAACTTTCCTATGAATCATCATGAGCTAGGAAACATTTCTCAATACCCTGTAGCAAACTCAGGGCTTGTAATACAAGTATAAACCATTAGAAAGATAAATAGTAAGTCAGATGCTGCAGCCTGCAAGAGAAGGAAGGAGAAAGACCATTTTGTTAATGACAATGGCCTCAAGGCTTTGGCTGTCCACATTGAAACTTTTCAAACCTTTCACCTGATTTTCTGAGGATCTCCAGTTACAAGGAAGCAGTTCCACACAGCTTATGTCTGGCCTCTGTGTGTTTGCTTGGGGACAGAGAAGGAGAATGGATTGTACACCAAAAAAAGTTACACGAAAATGCTGATAAAAATCAGATTATTATTCCAAGTCTGATAATTACAAAGCCTACAGTAAATTTAATAGATTTTTTTGCAAATTCCATCAATACATTTCCATGCAAACAGTGTTTTTTGACAGCTGGTCAGGTTACACACTATGCCAAAATGCTCTACAGTTTCAGCTGTAGGAACAACTATTAACAAAAAGCTTGAACTCAACAAGAAAAAAGTGCAGCAAGCATTTGGCAAATGACAATTGCTCTTACAAGTAAGAGAGGTGTTTGATTTTTTTTGTTTAAGAATCCCCAAGATGATACAATTGTAGATATACACACACGTTAACCTCCCTTTTGCCTGGTGTGAGAAATGGGCAAAAAAATGCCAGGTAGATCTTTTGTCCAATCGTTCAAAACAAGAACCCAATCTGCTTCCTACAGCTCTGACCTCATTATTAGGCACCAAAGTTGTTTCTGAGAAACAGAAGAGCGAAGAAAATTACTTGAAATGTTCAAAATACACTGGATTATGCAGCCTCTGAAAGCCAGTTGCACCTTTTTCCTTAATTATTATCTCCATATGAAGGGAAAATAGTTACTGGATCAATGTTCACTTGATGACAACAACATTCATGGGGTAATGTCCATGTACTTTTCCAAAAGTCTTCTAGGGAACATCAAATTAACACCACATCCCTAAGGAAACATCACCCACCTACACCCCTCCTGCAGCACAGAGAGAGATCCACCCCTCGTGTGACACCTGTGCTCAAAATCCATTTGAATTGTTTAACAATAACTTGTACAAGGACAAGTCTGTCAGAATCCTCACTGTGCTCTCAGTCTGACATTATTTCTGTGTAAGAAGGGAAAAAAGCAGATGTGTCTCTTCAGAGCTGTGTTTAACCACAAAAAGGCTTCTTCTCAGGGCTGCAATTACAACACAAACTCCAGCTCATTATCTTTTAGCACTAATGATAATTTTCAGAGGGCTCTCAGACTAAGAAAACAGAACTTTACATGGAATTAGGCCTAAGAGCTCTCAATTTTAGGCAAACCTCTTTCTAGACACAGCTCTCATCCTGAAAGCACAATAAAGCATGGCACAGGAAGCACATGTTTTCCTCCTTTAAGTAAAATGCTTGATTTGCTTCTATTCCCCTTGTGTTTCTTTTCAGAGGTGTGAAATACACAGAGACAAAACACAAAAGATACAGATCTAACCCAGCCACGATGCATATTGAGGATAAAGTGTGCAAACCCTCAGAAATCCTTCTTCATGAGCTCAAGAGATGAGCCAGTGTCAACTCCTGTGCGGTGACAAGGGACCTCAGCCCATCCTGCCAGGTTGCCAGGCAACCATTCCTGCATCCTTGGCTTTATTCATCAGCCATTAAGCACCATCAGGCTCCCTTTCTTTTCTCCCTCACACAGGCTCCCACTCTCAGAGATGGACGAAGGGGAGGGGGAAGTTAAACAACACGACTTTCTTTCCAAGCAGAAGCAACATTCTGGGTTTTAACAGCTGATAGGTTTTAGCCAATTCACACAACTCAGATAATTACTTTGTAGTGAAAAGTTCAGCATGATTGCATTAGGAAGAGGGATCTGTTAAAAGTTAACAGTAATAGACATATAATATTATTAGACAATGATGATCTCATGCTGACAGCACTAAGTGCCCTTTGAATTTCTAAAAAATAAAGCAACAGGTGACAGTTTTTTAAACCCAGAAGAATGGCATTCACCATGACCAAGTGCTGTTCTAAACCATGTCAAGATAAATAAAAAACAATTATCTCAGAAGCAGAACTGTGCTATCTTTAACTTATTCCAGGGAAACAAAGCAGAACTTCAGCCACTGGAGGTACTGATCCAGTCCTGAGTACCAGTACAAAAACACTCCACCTCTGGAGCACCTGTCTGTCTGTAATTCTCAAGCCCCAGGTTCAATTCCTCTCAGGCACCAGCAGAGCAGACCTGCAGCCCAAACAGAGCTGGGCAATGAAAATGCCTTCATCCACAGACACAGCAGGGCATATAGAATCAAGAAGTTCCAAACACTGAAAATTACCCATTCTGAGTGATTTCAGTGAATGAACAAGACATATTAAACGTTCAAATCAGGTAAAACCATGATAAAGGACACTTCGTTGAGATTAAGAATATTTAGCTGTACTCACAGGTAAACAACTGTTCATAAAGTTTTTAAAAGAATTCTTTTCTGCAATGATTTCACAAACAAAACAAGCTTGCCACAGCAAGTTAAACAATTCTGGAGGAGAAAGGCTAAAAATATGCAGTTAGAGGATACATTTTCCATATACATGAGAAATCAAAGCATATACATATATAATGAAAGCTGTAGAGTGCTGAAAATTAGTCTCTGGTTTGGCTTTTACTTTCCTACAGATATTTAATTACCCCTTCATCATTTTCACTGCCTTGCTCTCTATACCAGGAGTATGGTACCATGAAACGAAAATTAAGAGGAAGAAAAATGTGAATTACCATTCTACCAATTTTGTTTGCAACTGAGCTCCCAACATGCAGAAGCTCAGAGCTGCAACCTGATTTTCAATTATTTATACTTAGTTGCCTTTTTAATTTCATATTTTCCATTCAATTACAATGATCTCTCCTTCATATGCATATTCAATTTTCAGACAAAACCAGACAGTTACCAAGGCAGTATGTAAGACACATAAGCCTTCATGCCACTGTCATTTCTTTTAATTACTGAAGCCATACTCAAATTACTGGCTTATGCTTACACTTTATTTTGACTAAACTTTAAGTTTTGTAGCTAAATTCCTTAAAATACCTTTTTATTCTGAGCACATGATATCCTCACATTTGTTCCATATTTGTTGAATACCAACCATGATGAGAAGAAAAGTTAGAAGAGGTTTTTTTCATTTACCTTAAAGCCAAGATGGGATCAGCTTTGTAGAGACTTTGTCACGAAGGCATATTTTCAGTCTGGCCTCCACACTAATTCTCTGCAAAAGAGGGATACATCACATTTTATAATACCACTCATTGAAACAGAAAACTCATCATTTGCAATGATGAAAATTGTAAATATAAACAGAAGATGCATTTTCCTGACACTGCAGCAAAGTAGAACATATTTCGAAGCACGATGGTACTTAGGAAATATTTTTCTTACTTAGAGAAACAAAATATCTGCCTAAAACGTTAAAATCAATGTCCTTGTATCCAGCAAGGTCTGTTTCATGAAGACTCATGACTCCTCAGCAAGGAATTTGTGGTGGCACTTCTGCTATACTACAAAACACTGGCCAACAAACAATTGCCTTTGTTATCCATCAGTAAACAGGAATTGTTCTCATTACAAAAAACAAACAACACTGATATTATGATCATTTCAATATCTCACACATTTCCCAGTAGCAACCTCATTATCACCCATATAAATCTCCCTCCTTCTTTAATGAAATTCAGTTGTCAATGTGTTCCTTCCTTAAGCAAAACGAGGTAGTTCAGTACATATTTAAACAGTCTCTGTGCATATCACTTAAATTCAGTCCTAATCAAGGCTTATTCTAAAGATTCCACAGATTGCTCCACTAATAAGCAAGCTTCCATTGCAGCACTCCATAAATTATAAAACAAAGAGGGAAAACGACCAATAGCGACCAATTTTTGTCATGATTTTCTGTAAACAAAACCATATCAGTAAAGAAGTAATTTAAAAAATTAAAAAATAAAAGTGCACTGTGACTGTTGAAGGAAAGACTGTGGCACCCAGAGCCAAGGTCTGGTGTTGGACCTCAGAGGTCTTTTCCAGCCTCTGATTCTGTGACTTCTTGTCAATGTCCAGAATGCAGAACCCACCCAGCTCCTCCATTACTCCATTTCATAGCACCTCAACCAGCACTAACCCAAATGAACAAACAGCACACTGAACTAGCAGGAGTTCCATCTCCCAGACACTTGGATTTAATACAAATTTTACTTCTTTTACCATTAGAACAGAAATGGAAATGTTAGATTGGGATGCTCAGAGCTTCGTACAACCAAGTAAAACTAAGAGAAAAATACCAGTCCTAAAGAAAATTCATGGTGTGCCCCTCAGAAACCCCTCTTCAAAAAGGCAGTTGAAAATGAACTGCAGCAAAAATTTAAACTGAAGGATGGATTTACTGGATTCCAAAAATCACATTTCCTTGACAATACAACATTGCACTACTCTTCCGCAAAAGAACACCTCTAGACTATACAGCCCCTGTAAGTACATCTTCCATTCATGGTCTGACTGGACAAGACAAAAGGAAGATGAAAAACACAACAAAAAAACCCCAGTCTTTTCCCTGGACCAGCAAAAAAATCTTATTTGCTCACAGGTCTCAGATAAAAGCTTCACATTACAACATTTTATCTTTTTTACAGTTTTACTGCTCAAAAGATGAACTATGAGATTAAATCCAACTTTCTATTAAGCTCTAGAGACAGTCACATGCCATGCAACTCATAAGGCTTCAGAGTTTGGACACAGTAGTAGATATTGAATATATGAGGGGAGCATTTCAAAAAGGCATTAACGCTAATAGGGCTTACATATGTGTATCAAGGGAAGAATAGCTGCTAAGTTATGACACTCCTCAGTCCTGACCCAGAGGTACAGAAAGAAGCTGTCTGTATAATTCCACTGAATTCTGAGAGATTCTCCTAAATTCACCCACTTAGAAGACTAATTTTTTTTTTTTTTTAAGCATCTACTGGAGAAGAGAAGAAGCGAGGGGGGGAAAAAAAGTCAAATCACACACTAATCACTCAAACACGGTTGTGTTCTTCCAGTTTAAAGAACAACTGCAGGGGCAAATTTAGCAGATACAGAATGAAGGTTTTGTTTATTTAGTTGAAAATCACTGGGAAAAAAAACCCCACAGTGAATGATTCCACAAAACATCAACAGATTATAGCTTTGTCCTGTCTCTCACATTTGGACATGCAGAACACTAAGTTTTTTTTCTGTCCCCATGACTAATAATTGCAGGCTCTCACACCCCTACACCTTCTAGATATACAGTTTAAAAGGAGCAAAACAATTTGTTGACATAGTAACAATAAGATTCAGGGAACTGAAAATAAAAGGTCATGTTTCAGTTTCCCCAGCCAGAGCCATTTATTTCATTAGTGACCACCTTCCTTGGCAGTAATGACTGTGCTCATCCATGCCACCTATATATAACTTTTATGCAGCTAGCAAAGGTACAGATAATGACTCTGAAGTAATTTCTGTAGGGAAGCTTGGAGAAAAATATTCCCGTACACAAATCCTGAAGAAATTGTTCTCTCCTCAACAAAGTTTATATTTGAGATGGTAAGTATTTCTTGCTAGGAGAGAATATTGCAAATTAGAGCAGAAATCCCATTTCACTTAAAACTGCAATTCCTGTGTTTCACATGAGGCTCAGAATTCAGTGGGTAGCGAGGGCAGGGAGAGGAAGGAGGGACACAAGGATACAACAGCTCTGGGATTAGATGTTGCCACTTCCAATCCATCATCACATTTTCTCAGATTATGAAAATGAATTTTTCCCAGTAGTACATTTCACGCTTGACAGATTACAGATCAGTTTACACATTCACAATTGGAGCGCTTGGATTTTACAAAAGTTCAGGTCTTTTGAGACCAGCATTTGTTATATGGTTTGACATGAGTCAAGAGAAACATTATATGAGACAATGCCAGAGACACTTTCTGGCAATGAAATGGGTGAAGTCACAAACCCCTTAATGATCTCTGCAGCCAGCCTGAATTTAACACATTTTCTTTGACTTTACAGCTGGCTCAGAAAGGTCATTAGACTATTATATCTACTGTTATGTAGAGCAGCACTATACACATGTAAAGTTTCTATAGCAACACTTTCTTAATTCACTCTTTAAGCAAAACACCAATTAGCTTTTTATTATAGCCAATTAAAAAAATCTGCACACTAATTGACAACCTCTCTACACAGAATTTAAGCTTATGCAGAGGAAAATTGCAGTAAAATTTTTTTATGGTAATAGCTTACTTCCTATTCTCCCCTCTTAAGAGATCAGTAAATTATTCCTGATCGGTGCTGAACATCTATTTTCCAATCTAAACCATTCAGACACAGAAGTTACCTATCCTGATATGCCTTAAATCTGAGGAGAGCCTGAAGATCACAGGTTTCAAAAAGACATGAAAAATGTAATCAGCTGACTTATTTCTGCATTGCAGGAATCTGGGCATTGGCCCCTGCACCTGGAGATCATGCAAGAGGCAGCCAGCAAAGTGTTTCTCTTTCAGACTAGCCAAGCATGTTGAGCCAAGTGAGAAAGATGGCAAAAAAAACCAACACCACAAGTCAAATTTAGCAGGGCAGAAAAGACATTTTCATTTCCTTCTTAGTACTTAGTGTTGGTTTTCTCCGATGTCTTCTGCACAGCTGGTGATGACAGCTTCTTTGTATGTCACTTCAAGTAGCAAATATCAAGACATATTAGTCAGAAACCAGACAGTGAACACAGTATAAAAGGGAATACAACATGATGCAGAGTATCAGGAGAAACAGTCAACAAGAGAAGTTAAACCATCCTCTTTATTTTTTTTTTTTTGTAAGATCTTCTGCAGGAAGCTGAATAAAAAACATCATTCCCCTTACAATTTTTCCATGTGAGGCGTCAGGATTCACCTTACTAATAAATAAATAAATACACACAGAATGAGGTGACAGATGGCTCCTCTGATAAGCTCAGCATGCCCCAATCAAGAATTAATGTTTCTTGAGGGATCAGTAGGTCTGCTGATTCCTAAGGACACACTACAGAAACTGCTCCTATTCCCATCATCTTATTTACACTCGCTGTCCTGTTGTGCAGTATTGACACTGAGGCATCTCACATGTTCTGTGGGGAAACCAAAAGAGTTTCCCTTGAAAGGCTGACAGGTAGAAAGAGGGGTTAGAGTGGTCTTTCAAACCTACCACTGTAGAGGAGATATCCACACAAGTGAAAGAAAACATTGTGTGTAACCTTGGGGTTGCTGCAGGTCTGCAACAGGTCTGGATACACACTCAGGCTCTGCAGTACTCAAGGAAACCAGAGAAAAGGGACAAGAGCCAAGCAGCAGAGTTACAGACTTTCATCCTCAGTTCTTTAGGGAGGTAAACTCCCAAATGCAGCTCCCTGAATCCCCAGGAAAGGCGAGCATTTTCAATTTCCAAGCCTTCCAAGTGCAAAGTGCCCCCTGTGAGATGCAGAGCTCTGCCTCCTGCAGGGAGATTGTCTGAGTCCAAGATCGCTCAGTGTTGCACACAGGTACTAATTCCAACTAATGTCATCATCTGCTGTCCCAAGACTTTGAAGATTTCTCGTCTAGCAAACCCTTGTGACCAGCACCTCACCAAAATATGCTCAGTTCACCCACCCCTGCAGAGAACATCTCTCCCTTCTCTGCCCTCTGTGTTAGGAGAGCAGCCCATGGCCCAAAATAGGACCCGTCAATAACTGTGATGCAGAAGTGAATATCTGAGAGTACCAGAGCAACCAAATAAGCTTTTTTCTTCTTTCTTTTTTTTTTTTTTAAATTTTTTAAAGCTATCTGCATTGACATCTCAAGCCATTTAAAAATTTCAGCTAGTCAGTCCACCCTGCTAGTTAAATATTACACAGACAGAGTGCATTCAAGGAGAAGGTTCAGGGCAAAGTTTAAAAGGCAGCTGATACTTATTGGCAGCAGCCAGGATCCCCTTCGGTTGCTTTCTAGGAATGCACATTGCCAGGATCAGGAAGGCTCCAGCTGGTGACAGTCACTTTTCAAACACATCAGCACCAGGTATCCCTTCCTTGCTGTCCCCCCTGATGCGCTCCTTGCCCAGGCAGCCTGCTCTGAGCAGACACAGCCGCGTGGTCAGGTGGCTGCTGTGCAATGTGAAAACCCTCCAGGGAGTACAACAACAGATATGATTTCTGGCACTCTCACCCCTGCCAAGAAAACACC